GGCGGGAGGCAGGGGCAGCCCTGGGGGTGAGGGCAGAGGACAGCCAGTGCGGTGAGCCGCCTCCTCCCGGGCGTCCCGGCAGGAGGGGACCGCACGGAACAGGGCCCGCAGCTCCGGGTCCCAGCCCTGCTCTCTGCACCCCTGCGTCTGTACGGAGCCTTCCCCCTCCCGACATCAACCCAGGAAAGCCAGCGCCCCGTGCTGAGGACAAGCGAACCCCACAGGGCCTGTGCATCCTCCAGCGCTGAGGCCAGCCCCGTTCCTTCGGACAGAAATTTCCCTAAAAGTCCTGCTTCCCCAGGGGAGAGGAGCGCACTGTGCACGGCAGAGTCTGGAAGCACCTTTGTTTTTTCCCTTGCTCTGAAATTTCTTACTCTGGGTGACCAGACAATGTACTCTGACAGTGAGAATCCCAAAACAACGCCCTTGTTGCAACACCCAGACCACTCCCAGCAGCCTACCAAGCCCTTTCCGTTTCTCTCTATGTCCCGGCAGGATTTTTCACCCCGGCACTGACTGGAAGAAAACAAGTTTTAAAGAATGCTGATAAATTCCCCCCAGTTAAACGCCCGAAAGCACAAAAGGGCTCAGAGAAACATTCAGTTCATGGTCTGAAGCAGTGACTTAGGCAGCACCGTAGTGCGTACGCACAGAAACACAAACATGCAAGCCAGACCTGGGGAGGAAGGTGTGTTTTCAAGTAACTGCGAAGCAAAGCGTCTTCCAGATACTGGTTCCCAGTCTTGGGCTGCTCTCGGAAGAGGGTTTCAGTTTCTCTCCCTGCAAGGGGCATTTTCAGCTCTTCTGATACTTGCTTCTCCTCCGTGCCGACCTGTTGCCCCTGCTCTGTGGTCGTGTTGATCCCTCTTCGGCTCGGGGGCTGGCAGCTCTCCCAGCGAGGCCGAGCGCGCCCCGGCAGCCAGGTCTTGCGTGCAGCGCTGGATCTCCCCTGCGGCAGGTGAGAGGCAAACATGTTGCGCCCCCCGGCGGCTGGTCCCGCCGACCGCTCTCACGTCCGCCACCCGGCCCCGCGGGGCAGCAGCGCCGACCCCGCTTTGGTGTAACGTGGTGGAGTTATTCTTGCAAAAAACGACACGGCTCGGTGTCCTCTCCCCGCCCTTGGGGAGGAGCGTTCCGGCAGCTGTGGGCAACCGAAGTAGGGAAAAGGTCTTTGGGAAGAGCGCAGAAAACGGCCTGGAAAGCGAGGAGTGCTCCGCCAGCGCTGCGCACTCCTGATGCGGGAAATAATTGACATTTAGTTGGATTTTGCTATAGCTTTAGTCTGATTTTGTTACATATCTTGGCAGCCACGTTGAGGCAAGGGTTAACCGCTGACATTTAGTCTGGTCCTATGCTTTGTAACCTGGCTAACCAGGACTGCTGTGAGCTCAAAGGTAGCTAACAAGGACTGGGGCCAGCCAGGTAAAAGAGACGGGGACTGGTCAGCACTGGTAACCAGAACCCTTCTGTCTGTAAGGAGCCCCCCTCTAGCTGACACTGGATTGGCGGCTCAGAACTCCGTCAACACGGACAGCTCAGCACTGTTGGGCCCAAGGTGGAAAGCACACGACGAGGAGGACTACGAGAGCCTTCATCCAGAAGACCCCCACAGAGGACCACCAGGGAGGTGGGCGGGCAGGGCTCCCACTGCATCCCTGGGATGGCGACAGGGCGGAGCGGGGAAAAATGCGTTTCCTAACCTGGGAAATGGCAGAACGCCTGGAAATGGGAAGAAGCGGTTTCACAGAATCACAGAATGTTGGGGGTTGGCAGGGCCCTCTGTGGGTCACCCAGCCCAGCCCCCTGCCGAAGCAGGGTCACCCAGAGCAGGCTGCACAGCACCGCGGCCAGGCGGGTCTGTGCATCATGACTGCTTGGAGACCACTGAAACAACCTATGCAAGTCGCCCGGATTTGAGAGACAGCCCTATGGAAAACGGAGTAAACTGGTTCACAGATGGAAGCAGCTATGTTCTGAGTGGCAGGAGACACGCGGGGCACGCTAGTACCAGCAGTCAAGAAATCACAGAGTCAAGACCTTTGCCCATAAACACCTCCGCGCAAAAGGCAGAGATAATTGCTTTAACCCGTGCCTTGGAATTGGCCCAAGGCAAAGTGGTGAATATCTACACAGACTCGAAGTGTGCCTTCGGAGCTGTGCATGCGCACGGAGCGATCTGGAAGGAAAGAGGACTATTGAACTCTCAAGGGAAAAACATCAAACATGCAGAAGAAATTCTGAAACTACTGGAGGCAGTTCAACTCCCCGAGAAAGCGGCAATCACGCATATTAAGGCGCACCAGAAAGTGAGCTCAGAATTGGAAAAAGGAAACGAGCTGGCGGACAGAGAGGCAAAACAGGTGGCTAAAACGGAGGGAAGAACTGAAGGGGCTTTAATCCCTGATGGACGAGTCTCCCTAGAAGGTAAGCCAGAATATACTAAGGAAGATCAGAAACTTATTACAGATTTAGAAGGGTCATAGAATGAGGAGGGGTGGGCTCAAACCCCATAGGGAAAACTAATCATTCCCTCCTGTCTGATATGGCATCTGGTAAGGGAAGAACATAGGAAAAGGCACTGGGGGACAGAGGCTCTGTATAAACATCTAATTAGAGAGATTGTGGCCAGAAACCTATACACCACGGTGAGACAGCTGACTCAGCAGTGCGATCTTTGCCTCCAGACTCATCCAAAAAATAACCCTAAACCAGAAATGGGTCAGACTGGAAAAGGTAATGGGCCTGGACAACAATGGCAAATTGATTTCACGGAACTCCCAAGAAAAGCGGGGTACCGATATCCACTGGTATTAACCGATACCTTTTCAGGTTGGCCGGAGGCATTCCCAACCAGGACAGCTAAAGCTCGGCAAGTAACTAAAGTATTAATACAAGAGATAATATCACATTTTGGGGTTCCAGCAACTATGTCTTCTGATAGGGGACCACATTTTGTTTCAAAAATACTACAACAAACTAGCCGTCACCTGGGTATAGATTGGCAACTCCACACCCCATACCGCCCTCAGTTGAGCGGCCAAGTGGAGAAAATGAACCACTTCATCAAGCAACAAATTGTGAAATTAGGGCAAGAAGCAAATTTGGCATGGCCTCAGTCCCTCCCTCTAGCCCTCCTGTGTATACGGACAAGGCCAAGGGCAAGGGAGGGACTGAGCCCCTTTGAGATCCTGTATGCACGACCCTACGGGAGCCTTGGATGGGGCCATGGACCGAGAGGGCCCGGCCCAGGTGGGTGGGCTCCTTCTGAGTGATGTTTCATTTTAATTCATTATAAATATTGAAAACGTGTTTTATTATCTCTCTGGCTCGCTTAAATCAGCTTTACTTAGCTAATCACCTCACCTTGGGCTAATGCCTTTGTCTGCTTTAGCTGCATTCTAGTCCTGTTCACTGTGCGTTGCCAGTCGTGAGTAAAAAAA